CTATCTACCGTAATCTTGAAAGTAATTAAAATTCCATTCAACATACCTCGTATTAATCCAAATCATCTGGTTCTCTAGAGACCTTACTAATATCCTTCAACACCTTGAAAATCAATTGAAGAAATTATAATCAATCAATGATTAAAATCAAATGACTACTTTCAGAATCATTGATGATGAAGGGTAAAAGCCAGAATTGTTTTTTTTCTTTATTGAGATTCAAAGCAAGTGAACAGATTAAAATCGATTAAAAAGATTAAAATTGATTGCCGATCGAAATCGGGTTAGGGATGTAATAACAAGAATAATCGGTGAAGTAGATTATTTTTTCATCTCATATATTAATTTTAATCAATTCCAATAGAATTTTCGGCAAAAAGTGGAACGTCCGTCCAAGAGATTGAGATTTTAACATCGATAATCAAGAATAATTTGGATTTTCTCATGAATAGTTTTTTGCTAGGTTGTTATTTTGTATTTCGTTAAAAAAATCTTAATTGAATAAATATTCGTCCAACGCATGTAATCAACATTGTGAGTTGCATACAAGATTTTCGAATCCTTAGCGACTATTTTGATGCCTCATCGATTCGACTCGTATCTATGATCAGTCTGGTTCATATGGAAGATTTTCAACAAGTTCTTCAATATCAAGTAAGTTCACTTGAACGACATTATTTTGAATCAAATTTGATTTCAGGAAACCATGAAATAGAGCAAAAACATTTCAATGACAAAACTTGAAATTTCGTCTAACATAAGGCGCCACATTCATAAACTAGTGTCTTTTACAAAACATCCATTAAAAGAAACATGTTGAACCAACAGTTACGAAAGCACATCCGCCCAAACAACACCTATTCACAAAAAGCAAATTCAAAGTTGCCGCTACCACCATCGTACACAAGTTAGTTGGGCAAGTGGAAGAACTCGTACAGATCGAAGACAACAAGAATGTAAAAAAGTAAAAGCACTAATACCGAAAACACTAAGTACGCATTAAAAACAAGTAATAATAAAACGAATACAACTTTCTTTATTTAAAGACAGAGTTTAACCATATTGATGAGAGACTTTTCGTTCAGGTATCCACTTTCATAATCGAATATTATAGACAACCAAGAAATTAATACAAAGAAAAATACAACTCAATCCGTCTCTGAAAAATTCCAATTTCGCCTGTTTCATATATAGCATAAAAAGACGATTTCTTTAAGAAAAAATCCATTTATTTTGATTGAATCTTTTTTCTACGAACTTATGCATATACATGAAAAAAACTATGATCACCATTAACCGAACTTCTCGATACCACTTCTCAAAAGATAAATAAATAAACGATATCTCTTCTGAAAGTTTACATTTCTTCTGGAATAAACACCATCTTTACTAAAATCTCTCCCTAGAGTGAAAAACTAACATGATAGAGATCTTCTTAAGTTTTTTCAACTTCTCCTTATCGAACCAGCCATGGATCAAGGATTTCTGCTAGATATATTTATAGTTCTGCTAGAAAGAGACCATTTCTACTGACACTTTCTCTTAGGATGAAAAAAACAATATGACCGATATCGCGTGACCTTTTTTCGACTTCTTATGAGAAGAGATAAGAATCAAGGATTTCACCCTGACACGTTTTTTATTAGTTCTGTTGTGAATACTATGAGATAAGGAATGTTATTTTCGAAAAAAACCATTTCTATTTGGCTTTTTGTGGAATGAAACTTTTCTGTTTGAAATCGAACAATTTCCCACTTTTGGGGGATATTGTCTAGCTCTCGACAGCCAAAGAAGAAAAAGATTTAATGCTAATAATAGTGTATATGATAGTCTATACTGTCAAATAAAACTTTTGATAATAGAGATTCATGGGACACCTTCACATGAGTTATCATCAAAACTCAATTACAAGGCTCAACTTCGATTTTTGTAAGGCTAGTAGATAAAAGCTTAATATTTTGGCTATGTACCTAAGTCGAGTCGGCCTACTAACTGGTAAAAGGTATAAGTGTTTGAAGCCTTACAAAAAAGTGTGTAATCGAAATCACTTTCCTATTCAAGCATTTTCGATGTTCGTGTGTTCGCGTCTTTTACAAATACCTCGTCCTCCTGTTCGCGACAGCCTTGATAATGTAAAATAATGCGCTGATATTTGGATTTATTTCAATACAAATATCAAAGTATTAACATTTTTTTTCAATACTAATACCTAACTGACATGCATAAATAGAATATAAAACGAACAAAAGAAAATAATATATTGTGTTTGTTTCTTTCTTTATTGTAAAGATTTTAACATGTTTCAACTGGAAGTGAAGCACAAAAAGGTTAAACTTTCTGAAGCTTGCTATTCTAATATTTTCTTGCTTATTATGTATTTTAGTGTTTCTGGTCGATCGCATCCCTATTAGGTGTAGCTATCATACTAATACCTACCCTTGTGGTTATTACAAAACGTTCCAAACATAATCATGATCAAGCGACACTTTCCGTAATAACACGCAATACTGATGATTATCAATCAAACAGTGAATACTATCAATCATTGACAAATGTCCATGACTTTTCTCAAGCAGATAATCTTCGTTTGGATCGTCTTTCATCTCCACGATTTCATCCAACCAATGGAAAGAGTATTATATACTTAAGACGACAATATCATATGCCTGATTTACGTGGATCAACAACAACTTTACATTGGCTCGATTTAGAAACGAACAAGAATGTTCAGTTAACACAACCAATTTGGGGAAAACACGATACACAAGTAAGAATAACATTATGTTATATATTTAATTATTCATATTGTTATTTTTCTTCAGTTCTTTTGGATAGATAATAATACTATTCTCTTTTTATCCAATCGAGCTTCATCAGGTCTTACTCAAATTTTTCAACTTACACTTCCTGTCGACTTATTAAAAGCAACTACTAATTACATTGAACCAATTCAAATAACAAACTATTCATTGAATATTGAAAATTTGTTAGTAAATCGACAAGCATCACGTCTTGCATTTAGTTGTCAAGTCTATGCAAATTTAACAATTGAAGAAACATTTGCTCGACAAAAGGCCGAAAAAGACAGTGGTCGATCAGTTTATCAATTTGATAAGTTATTCATTCGACATTGGGATGAATATATGACAGGTCCACGTCATCATCCATTTCTTGTTTCAATCGAACGACAAACCAATGGAATATTCAAATTTTCATCAGAACCAATTGATATACTTTTCAATATTGATAGTGATTCACCAACAAAACCTTTTGGTGATGCTAAATCACAATGGTCATTTAGTGCAAATGGTAATTCATTCGCATATACTCGACAATATGATGAAACTAGTGCTGTAGCTTGGTCAACTAATTTGGATATTTACACAGTGGATTTGAGTATGTCTAGACAAGCAAGTGTGTGTATTACATGTGATAATTTGGCAGCAGATACAGATCCATCTTATTCACCAACAGATGATCATGTATTGGTCTATCGATCACAGTCAAAACAAGGATATGAATCTGATCAATTCAAAATAAAATTGTATAATGGTTAGTCATATTAGCTTTGTATGGTTCAAAACTTACACTACTCGTTCTCGTTTACATTTTAGGATCGAATTCGAAAATAACACTTGTCGACGATTGGGATCAAAGTATTCAAGCTGTGACATGGTCTCTTGATGGTCAATCTCTTTTTCTTGAACTTGGTGAAGAAGCACGAAATGTCATCTATCACTTATTTGATTTATTCACAAATGAATCACTCACTCGTCTAGTCAGTACTGGTACATCGCACGAAATCAATATCCATCCTATTAATAGTCAAATGTTTGTTTTCACTCATCAAAGTTTCGTCGAACCAGTCAATATTTATTTATATTCGTCAGATGGATCAATGCGATCCCTCACTGATCACAACAAAGCTCTATTGGCCAAAGTGAAAATAAGTCCAACGGCTGAGACTTTTTCGTTTTCAGGTGCTCGGGGTGATAAAGTTTGGGGATGGCATATGCCACCATCGAGTGGTACTGGCAAACGAGCTCCACTTGCTTTTCTCATTCATGGTGGTCCACAGAGTAGTTGGTACGATGCATGGAGCTATCGATGGAATTTGCAAACATATTCTTCTCAAGGCTATGCTGTCATTGCCATCAACTTTCATGGTTCCGATTCATATGGACAGAATTTTACAGATAGTATTATAGGTGAATACGGTTCATTACCTTTTGAAGATCTTCAATTGGGACTTATTTATGCTCTGAACAAATTTCCTTATATTGATCCGAACCGAGCCGTAGCATTGGGCGCTAGCTATGGTGGATATATGGTCTATTGGATTGCTGGACATCCAGAAATGAGTCGTCGTTTCAAAACGCTCATTGCTCATAATGGTGTATTTGACACAAGAGCCAAAGGTTATTCCACAGAGGAGCTGTGGTTCACTGAACACGATGTAGGTGGCTATACCCCATGGTCTAATCCCGATGCTTACGAACGCTATAATCCACTTAAGTATGTTGTAAATTGGACCCAACCAATGCTAATTATTCTCGGTGCTCGTGACTATCGTGTTCCAGATACTCAAGGAATAAGTGCTTTTAATGCCTTGCAACGTCGTGGCATTGAAAGTCGATTACTCTATTTTCCTACCGAAAATCATTGGATACTAAATCCACTTAATTCTCTTGCCTGGTACGAACAAGTACAAGGTTGGATGCACAAATGGACAAATTAGATCAATTCTGTAGCTTCTCAATCAATAATATAGTCGATTCAATATTAGAGACTTTTTTCTTTCGTTGCTATGTTTTATTCCTTTTCGAACAATACAGAGAAAAACTAGAGATCAATTCGAGCGTGGTAACGAGTGTAGCGTTTGAAATAATAAATGGTTATTGAAAATAAACAGTGAATGATGGATATTTTTGATGAGTGAACAGCCCTTTTTCTCTGTCAAATGAAACGACAAAATCTCTTTCTTTTTCATCCGAATCAGTTTGATTGAAATAAATTAAATTAACTCGCTTCGCAGGCGAATATTTGTTTTGGTTGTACTCTGGAAAATCGTTCTCTTGATTTAATTTCTCTTTGTATCCAATTCATAATAATAAGGCTAAGGATGAGCGAAAAACTATGAGTAAATCCATCAGCTTTGGTTGTGAGTTGCAGTAGGATTTTTAAGCGTAAGATATTATTGTTATTCAACTCTTATCAATAACAATAACTTCTCAACTCTAGCGATTTGATCAGAAAACTTTTACTCGATTATTTAGGCAACAGTATTGTCATTTGTTTCACATATTGGAGTTGCTCATTAATAATCATCAAGTCGTTGGGCTTACACTTCTCTAGCATGACTTTCAGACTTTCTTGACAATCACCTTTCAGTATTAGAAGGTGATTTTGTAGCAACAGATTGAACATGTGGTTCACTCGAATGCCACAAACGTAATTTTCCTCATAAATCATTTTGATCAATATTGACCAAGAATGGATCATCACTCTAATGACGAACAATATGTATGAGGAAATTTGCAAAGCGAGCGCTCACAGGAAGAAGTTTTTGAACCGAAGTCATCGATTCTTTGAATTCGTAGTTCAATTTATTAAGCAGTCGTATCCTAGTTTCCAATCGACCAAACGGTGACAATTCCAGTGTGGAATGCGGGTGTGAGTGTAGATGTTCGAGTGCGAGTATTTTGGCTTGAGCATCCGTGGGAATCAAGAGAAGATTGACACCTACATTCACATCTACATGTGGATATTATAAATTAGCCAATTCTGAAAGAGAGGATTTGCTTTATCAATTATAATATCGTGTTTAGGTATGTCCGTGTTGAAAAATGTTAATCGTAATATGTTATAAAGAGATAAAAAAAAATGATAAACGACAGGTATATAGAATTCAATCGTTTTTCATAAAAATAATCCCGCAATAGAGCTTGAAGACTGCAAGAACATTTGATCTTCAAAAGAGGATTTAAAATGTTTCTTACATCGTAAATAAAAAGCACTCATGTTTATTAACGGTTTCAAACTGTATAACAAGAGAAGTTAGTAGGGTTTAGACAGTTCATTGTTTACACATTGACTCTTTTAGTGTTATCAATTATAGGTTTTCAAGACTGTACCAGCTTGATTGATATGATCGTTCAATCAATTTGCCACTAAAAATAATAAACAAACACATAATGATTTACTTATTACTTTATTTCTGAAGAATTCTAACTGACTCTTAGTCTCCCATATCCACTAGCTGTTGTTCGTCCTCTTTTTTGGTGTGTTAGCCTTTGTAAGTTAGTACCACCTAAAAATATAATATGCCAAAAAATGAAAAGTGATCTAAATTAAAGTTTCCACAATCTCAAACTACGCAGTTTTGCCAATGGAGATAGAAAAATAAATTATCAATAGCTTACGTATCACTGTATCATTCACTGTCAATTGTTGTAAATATTTCTGATCAGCAGAAGTAATCCGAGGAGGGTCGCGTCGCTAAAAATAAATGTGCAAATTGTTAATTCAAAAATAAGATGAACATAGATAAACATATAATAGAAAATGGAAATGAAAGTTGCTTGTTTTGAGTCGCTTAAAGAACACTTCTCTAATTATTCTAAGGTTTCAATGGGAGATATCAATTTTTGATAAAAGCTATTTTAAGTCAAGAACCGAAACATCCCATACTTCAAAGTGTCTCTGTTCATCTAAGTTGTTTAACTTTTCACCGTCAACAATCGCTTTATGACTAGGCTCCAAATATTTCACTGCTGTTGTTGTTGTTGTTGTTGTTGTAGATCTAAAAAAAAGATCCTCAAATAATTCTACTACTCTACAACAAACAAGTCAAATGATGAAGCAGTATTAGTATAGAGAGAGAATACTGTTAGAGTGGACTTCTTTTTCTCGACTTTAGACTTACTTGAGAACATGTGATTGATCTGGTTCTACTGTGGGCAAAACGTCTGAGCGTTCAACACTGCCACCATTTAATACGTGATTTTGGGGGATTTTGTCATGATACTGAAACCTTTCATAACCTTAAATTTTTATAAAGAAACTAGTTATTCAATTTCATTCCTCGTACATTTACCATCGAGAATGGATGAGACCATAGACTCGAGCTCACCTATATTGCTCGTAACAGGTTCGTTCAGTGAGTTTCTGACTGTCGATACATGCAACTCATATTGGCGTTGATTTAAAACAGTCCTTCCATGTTGTCTGAAAGAGAGAGAAGGTTAACATGTTGTGTTGCCATTGTTTTTTAAAGTGAAATAAATTTATTTTAACTTACATTCCAACACTAGGCTTTGCATGTCCAACATATAATGTAATCGTTTTACTTTCTTTGCGTGCTAACTTTATTATTTGTTCTGCCATTTTATGCGTAACAAATTGTACATCGTAAGTGTTACGCTGATAAGAAGAAGAATCAGAGAGACAATATTACATATAAGACAGACAGAATGTCATTTATCTTACCATTGTTGAAATTTGTAATAATCGGTCACCTCGATATAACTGTTGATTACCGTGATATTTCCTAATATCTGCAATAAATATACCATGATCACTTCAATGAAAAATAGGAAAAGATTTAAAGTGAAGAGAAATAAAAATGGCACTAGTATTTACTTTGGAAAACATTCATTTCCAATTCCACCTCTAATGGTAATGCCTAGTTTTCCTCTATGCTCTAATATGATCTCGTTGCCAATCGATGGTGAGAGACGACGTATTAGCTAAATAGAGTGTTAGAAGAAAAGAAATATTAATAGAAGATCTTACACATTCATTTCCTAATCTTTACCAATTTAACTGTTGGTCCTGCTTTTCTCAAAATATGAACAGCTGTTTCATATTTAATATTTGTAAAATCAATATTATTCACACGCAATATTATATCATATAATCTAAAGTAACAAATTATTGATTAAAACAAAGAGTTGATAGAAAGTAAAATAGCTTACTTCAATCGTTTATCTCTATGTGCAAGACTATTTTCAATTATATTTACAATAACAATAGATGCAAGACGACGATGACGAGGAAGAAAAGGTACATGAGTACCGCCGGCAACAGTAAAACCCAATGATTTATCATCGCTTGTTAGCTTTGAAAATACAAAGCAGACAAGATCAGAATAAGCGCATGAACGAAATTTTACAAACTCTTTCAAGAATAATTTCTATTTCTTGCCAATGTTCTTTGTAATCGGATTGTATTATATCAGACATGACAAGTGATCAGAATCGTTTTATTTACGCTTTTTTTATTCAAAAGAACAATGAATGTTGACAAGGATATGAGTGCAGTGAAATATTTTTCAAAAGAAAAGTAACAACTTCAAAAAAGTAAAATTGAAAAGAGACGAATGAATTTCAACGTTTCATTTACTCAAGGTAACTACAGCCTGTTTTTACTTTACATAGAATCAATCGAATAGAAAAAGGAAAAAAAACAGCATGCGTTCACTGTTCGTATTTTGTTCTTCCTAGACACGCATCGATCTTGAGAGTGTGAATGATAGGTAGAATGGAGTATGTTTGAGAGTACAACGATCTAGAGTAGTGTGTAAGCCAACGTATGGGCAAGAACTTGTAGAGAGACCCTTTCCTTTACTCACAAGTTTACACATCCGCAAGATTTTTCATTCCTTGAAAATATCAACACAATTGTGAAGGTTTGTTAAGCCATTCATGATTGTTCGTTTTCTATCTACTCTTCTCTCTGTTCAGTAGTTCTGAGATAGGAATAATTGCATTAAAAAAGAAACAATCGTCTCCTTCAATAATAATTCATATTCTGACACGATCTTAAAATTTGTCTACCGTTAATTGTTTAACAACAAATGCAAATACGGGTGTAGGTGTGTGAAGGTAAGGACAAGAACTTCCGGCAGAAACTGGCATCCTCACAATGACTCACAAACTACTTCATAGTCATACGCACACACCCTTGGCGGAAGCTTTAAGTATATTAGATGTTTTTTTCTTTGAAAGGTGAACCATGCATCAATGGCTATAGACATTATAAATATCAAAAGATTTCTCATGTAGAGTGATGATGTTTCTAGAAAATTAAGAGATGCTGTTAGCCATACTCATTGTGCATGAATCTCAAGTCAAACAATATTATTGCTATCGTCAAGCAAGTTGGAAAAACAATTTTATTAACAAACTATACGAGTACTCTCACATGTTTATTAAGCAATTTGACAGAAGAAACGAAAAATCAAGCGACTGCAAAGAGCAAAGTAATTTATATTGTTCCATTTCAATGAACCGAATAAAATCGATGAAATATTGAAAGTAGTCGAAAAGTTGATTAAAGAAAAAAACAAAAATGATTCGAACAAGTTTTATGAACTAGGTAAACAAAAGACAGATTCAATAAGGATGGTACGTATCTTATTAGAGAAATACTGTGCAATAAATGTTTTTAGTTAAATTTACAACTTGAGAGAGCAATAAAATAAAGTAGTTGTAAAATGCTCAGTTAGTAGATATTTAGAGTTATATAGTTTTGAATGTACTCTCAATCAATCATTCGTCATTTTGAAAAATTCAGCGAAGCCAAAGACAAATATCCCATTTATATATGATCAAGTCTTAAATATAGTCAAGGAAAAATTGTCTTTGACTTCACAGAAAAATGAAAGAAATTGAAGTTCGAAAGAATCACTAGACTCATTTAAACAATACATTAAAAAATTGGAGTATACTATCAAGTATTTGTCTAAAAGGATGCAAGCTGTATTTCAACTAAAAATTACATTATTGAAAAGAAGATATCCGTCTGAACAAAAACAAAAGACAAAAAATTCACAAGGCATGCAATTCTATACCAAGCATGATCAAGAATGTGGGCTCAAACAGTATCAAAAAAATAAGTCGACAATAAATAAAAATATTGAATAAAATAATATTCGAGAGGTATTATTCCACGTGAAAAAGCTTTATGAATTGTGATGTCGACTTCGAAGCATTGATCATGAGATACAAAAATTATGTTCAAAAGTATGATTTCTACTTCGAAAAAATATTTCAAGAAGGATATGATTGTTCTATGAATAGATTTTTCGGTACAAAATAATGATTGATAATGAGCGAAAAAGCTAATGAAATGAAAAAATGTTTCAATTATTTAATTGAGCTTATGCACTTCATAGATGAATTAGAAAATCAAGCAATATCGAAAAACTAATTTTTCGTGAAGATTTCAACGACACACTTCTCGCATTAGAGAGGAAACCTTCTATATTACTTTGGAAAACATCAGATTTGTCTTTTACGAGTATGCGAGCTTATGCTGATATGAATAATGATAGTAATGTGTCAGTAAATTCTATCATGATGGTTAGTATATCTTTTCATTGATGAGAGAAGAAAGCTGAACAACAATCGAAATGATTTCAATAAGAAATTGAATGTAAAATTTACCAGTAAACATTCATTCAATATAAACGTCACAACGATTTAGTCTGATGCTGAATAGTATACATAAAAAAATTCAAAAACATGAACATTGGAGATAGATGTATATGACATGTTTAGTTCGTACTTGAGACACGTAAGTGAAACATGATAGAATCGACAACAGTATAACTAAAGTTCGAAGAAAATTTTTAAAGATCATTGAAATATGATAAAGTTCTGTTCTGATAAGCTAAAAGTTCAAAATATTTTTCAAATCTTTGATAAATACGAAGAGAACGTCAAATGATTTACCTTCATTGAACAAGAAAATAAATGAAAGCATCAGTGAACTACTTGGTTAGTATAAGATGTATGACATAGAATGTCAAAGTTTTCGAGAAACTAGACACAATTTCAAATCAGGATAAAATTGATACAGATCAAATTATTATTGTTGAGCATAAAGCATTTAAAGACTTCTAATTATCATGACTCAACGAAAAACTTCAAGACATGACCTACATAATACCTTAACAGGCAAGAACAACTATCTTCTTTAGCTGAATACAGCTCACCTAATCACAATATTTCGCATGCTTGTATTTCGCGAGAAAAAGAAAGAAGAATTAACCAACAATCTAGTACAGATAAGAGATGACGAGAGAAAAACTAAAACATTTTGTGTCACAGCTGCTGTATTTGCACCAAGGCTCCTAGCAGGGTGAAAACTTTTCCCATGTGTCCTGTCCTGCCCTACTTCCATTTACCCTGTCCACCGATTGTTTTCCTCTACTCTGTCTTGCGATTTTTTCACCCTGTTCTGTGGTTGTTCTATCCTGTCATATCCTGCTCTGTCCTGTCAAAAAAAAAAAACGCAACCGAGTGGCAATTTTCTCTGAAAATATTTTGCGAATTATTAAATGTATTATAGTCTTTCTTTATTTGTTTCCTTGCAAAAATACTGAAACATATTTTTGATTGAAAATATTTCCTTTTTTACACTATCCAATAATAATTTCACAGAAAACAAACACATAAGTGAATAAAGCGCAAGCCACATTAAAAAGTTTCCCAACAAATTAATTTCGAATCGATTTTTTTCTCATTGCTAAAAATAGAATAAAGTGCAATCAAACATTCCATCTTAATCCATATCAATCTAAATGTTCGATTTGCTTATCTATGCTCAATGCTGAAACGGTCGATCTTTTATCTGTTCGAGTATACACTCTGAAAGCTAAAATTAGCAAAGGTAAACGGAATGTTTCTTGCGCAAGATACTACGATAGACTAATACGGGAAGTATTTTCAGGCAAAGTATTTTCATTGTTTCATGCAAACATACTAACACTTCTTTCGACATGCATTATGTATTTCAGGCTTACCCAAACTTTTTTCGACAAAGCAACATGATGACAATTGCATCGGATCGAGAGTTTGTAAAAATATGACGTAGTGTATTTGGAAAGTTAACTTGCATTTGAGTGAGCATTAATAGAATACTATATATTTCAGCTTATAAGCAAAAGCTAGTGTAAGGTAGAAGTTTATCAACGAACTTAACCTGGGCGCATTTAACTTGAATTTGAACGATACAAAGGTTGAATGGCGAAACAATGCTGGCAATGACATTTAAAAAAAATACAAGGTGGTTGAGCTTAATCTGTGTATTGATTTCTCAAAGGTATCGATACAGAGGTCAGCTTGTGAATTCGATGAATGGGTCTGAAACTAATACCCACGCCTTCTTTCATCATTTATCTATCTATGGAGCAACCATAAACTTTTGATTGAACCTTGCGAATCATATTGCAGCTAATGTATCATTATCGATGGCCACCATACATATTGTCGACGCACTTGTCGGATCAAGCTTATGTAAATGTCGACAAAAGACTTTACTTCGCTAACCATTGGTTGTTATCGAACACCAAGTGTGTGATCACACTTTTGCAAACTTCACCAACATTTAAATGCAGAAAATATTATGTCAGTCTCATTGACAAAGCAAAAAAAAAATAAGAAGCGAAAGATGACGCAAGAAATAGTAATCGACAGTGTGAGTTTGGTGCAATAAACTGGAGAACGATTAAGGATCGATCTGAAACATACATTGAACGATACAACAGATCGTTCAGTATTCTTGTAGCTGTAATAAATTGCACAATTGTCATCACATTTTCAGAAATATTTCGATCAAAAATGCTGCATGAAATCATAAGTATTCTATGTTCTACGATTCGCGGTGAGTATATTAGAAAGCATAGGCATAAAAAAACTTTATTTAAAGTCAACCAAGATCTGCAGTAGATATTGAATGATATATGTATAAACAGCAGAACAACTATTAAGCTTTCCTCTTTGTGATTTCAGTATTGTAAGCATTATTTTAATTGCGACATATATGCCTATGGAAAGTCAGATGTATACTGTTGACTCATATATAGTTATTCTGCAATAATTTGTCCTTTTGAATTTGAGCGTTCGACTTCAACTGTCCAAAGAGGAGCATCTATGACGCCGGTTTTCACTTAGTGGAATTCAGTCGAAATCATTATGGTCAGAATCTCGCACGCTCATCAACGTCAATACTGCGCTATAAAACTCGATTTAGATGACATGTACGGCCATGGTATAGAGCCTACATGAATCCATAAAAAAACAAAAGTGAATTGTTCCGAATTTTAATAACTTAAGAATCTTCAGGTCACTTGACCAGTGCTGAAGGGCATTAACACTGAAGCTGTTGAGCAGCTATTTTGTGGGTGAAGAGCTACACGAGCATTTTCAATAGCCTCGGCTGGCGACAAATGTTAATCTACTTCCCAATGAAAAATTTCAACACTTAAAATCGATTAAAATTTCAAAATCCTATGGCCCTAATCGGATTACAATTTTAATTATTATCGATTATAACCTTGATTTGGTTCTAAAATAATTCGATTGCAAATTTTGATTTTCTATCGCACAAATTTGATTATCCATTTTGATTATTCCCAAAGGACTTTTTCATGACTTTTCTGGATTACTCGTGTTGGCAAACTATAAAGTTTTCACTAAGCTAAACTCCAGCAAATGTAGTAAATTCGAAAGTACTACATTTAATTTTTTCAAATAGAGATGGTGCAATTATCTCAAAAATCGATTAAAAATTAAGAAACAGATTTAAATTGATTGATTCTAATCAATTGTATTCACATTTTTTATCTTTTTGTATGTAATACTTCTTTATATATGAAATCCTTTTGCAATTTGTATTCTCACAAGTTTACTCATCTTATGTATGTCTCATTCTTACGAAAAAATCAGTTTCACTTCATTACCAGTTTTTAGAATCGATTAAACGTGATTGATTCATGTTTTGGATGAACATACTATCGATAAAAGCAATTTTAATCCGATTATCTTATATAAATTATGTTATAGAAAGGGCACCAATATTGTTCATAATCATGTATATTGTGTTTGTTCTAGAAGTTCTGTCCTAATAAATATTACATGACATTTTTATCTACCGTAATCTTGAAAGTAATTAAAATTCCATTCCACATACCTCGTATTAATCCAAATCATCTGGTTCTCTAGAGACCTTACTAATATCCTTTAACACCTTGAAAATCAATTGAAGAAATTATAATCAATCAACGATTAAAATCAAATGACTACTTTCAGAATCATTGATGACGAAGGATAAAATCCAGAATTGTTTTTTTTCTTTATTGAGATTCAAAGCAAGTGAACAGATTAAAATCGATTAAAAAGATTAAAATTGATCGCCGATCGAAATCGGGTTAGGGATGTAATAACAAGAATAATCGGTGAAGTAGATTATTTTTTCATCTCATATATTAATTTTAATCAATTCCAATAGAATTTTCGGCAAAAAGTGGAACGTCCGTCCAAGAGATTGAGATTTTAACATCGATAAACAAGAATAATTTGGATTTTCTCATGAATAGTTTTTTGCTAGGCTGTTATTTTGTATTTCGTTAAAAAAATCTTAATTGAATAAATATTCGTCCAACGCATGTAATCAACATTGTGAGTTGCATACAAGATTTTCGAATCCTTAGCGACTATTTTGATGCCTCATCGATTCGACTCGTATCTATGATCAGTCTGGTTCATATGGAAGATTTTCANATGAAGGTGGGTATATATATAGGCATAGTGAAACAATCATTCCACGCTTCATACTCACACCCATACCAACACCCCCCCACACCCCACCCACACCCACACCTAATATAGATATCAAAGCATTAACATTTTTATAATCTTGATACTTGAATTTTGTGAAGATCTTTTAATGTTCCAACAGGCATGGAAAAACAAGAAGGTTGAACTCTTCGACTCTTACTCTTTTATTATATTGACTGTGATACATATTTTAGTTTTTCTGGTCGATTGAACTTCTACTAGGTACAGTCCTCACACTGATATCTAATCTTGTAATTATCACAAAAAATTCTAAACATAATCATGATCAAGTGATATATCAAGTGATAACACGAAACGTCGATGATTATCAGTGAAATAGTGACTACTATCAATTATTAACAGATATACATGAGTTTTCACAAACTATCCATCTTCGTTTGGATCGTTTTTCACCTCCTCGATTTCATCCAATCAATGGAAAAAGTGTCATCTGTTTAAGACAACAATATCATATGCCTGATTTACGTGGGTCAACAACTAGTTTGTATTGGCTCGATTTAGAAACAAATAAGAAAGTTCAGTTGACACGATTGATTTGGGAACAAGTCTTACTCAAATATTTCAACTCACACTTCGTTCGAACTTATTAGAAATAACTAATACTTTCCTTTAACCAATTAAAATAACAAATTATTCATTGAATATTGGTAGTTTGCTAGTAAATAAACAAACATCACGTTTTGCATTTAGCTATCAAGTTTATCAAAATTTAACAACTGAAGAAACATTTGCTCGACTAACAGAAGACAGAAGTAGTGATCGTTCAGTTTATCAATTTGACAAGTTATTCATTCGACATTGAGATGTGTTGTTTCAATCGAACGACAATCGAATGGAATATTCAAGTTTTCATCAGAAACAATCGATACACTTTCCAATGTAACTTAGATAGTGATTCACCAACAAGACCTATTGGTGATGCCAAATCACAATGGGTATTTACTGCAAATGGTAATTCATTTGCATATACTCGACAATATGATGAAATAAGTGCTGTAGCTTGGACAGCTAATCTCGATATTTACACAATAGATTTGACTATATCTGGACAATCAAGGAGCACAATCAAAACCAGAGTATGAATCTGATCAATTCAAAATAAAACTCTATAATGGTGAATCATATTTTTGTTGTTATATGTTTGAAAATGTAAACTGTCCGCTCTTTCTCACATTTCTAGGATCAAATTCGAAAGTAACACTTCTTGATGATTGAGATCGAAGTATTCAATCTGTAGCATGGTTTCTCGATTGTGAATCTCTTTTTCTTGAACTTTCTGAAGAAGCACGAAATTTTATCTATCATTTATCTAAAAATCAATCACTTACTCGTCTAGTCAGTGCATCCATGTTCATCCTATGAATAATTGAATATTTGTTTTCACTTATCAAAGTTTTACTGAGCCAATCAATATCTATTTATATTCATCAGATGGATCAATGCAACCTCTCCTGATCATAACAAAGCTCTATTAGTGAAAGTGAAAATGAGTCCCACGGCTGAAGCATTTTCATTTATAGGTGCTCAGGGTGATAAGGTTTGGGAATGACATATGTCACCATCAAGTGGAACTGATAAACGAGCTCCACTTGCTTTTCTTATCCATGATGGTCCACAAAGTAGTTGGGATAATGCATGGGGCTGTGAATGGAATTTTCAAACATATTCTTCTCAAGGTTACGCTGTCATTGCAATCAATTTTCATGGTTGTAATTCATATGGACAGAATTTTACGGATAGTATCATAGGTGAATATGGTTCATTGCCTTTCGAAGATCTTCAGTTAAGTCTTAATTATGCATTGAACAAGTTTCCTTATTATGATCCATATCGAGCTGTAGCATTGGGTGCTAGCTACAGTGCATACATGACCTATTGGATTGCCGGGCATCCAGAAATGACTCGTTGTTTCAAAACACTCATTACTCATAATAGAGTGTTTGATACAAAAGCCAAAGGTTATTCCACAGATGAGCTATGGCTCAGTGAACATGATGTAGGCGGATATACTCCATGGGAAAATCCTGATGTTTATGAACGCTACAATCCACTTAAACATGTTGTAAATTCGACTCAACCAATGCTAATCATTCTTGGTGCTAATAACTACCGTGTACCAATTACGCAAAGAATAAGTGCTTTTACTGCTTTGCAACCTCGTGGTATTCAAAGCTGACTAATATATTTTCCCACAGGAAATCATTGGATACTAAATCCACTTCATTCACTTATTTGGTACGAACAAGTGTAAGGTTGGGTGTACAAATGAACAAACTAAATCAATTTTGCACTATTTTCATCAATACTAGAGCCAATTCAATATTAGAAACTTTTTTCTCTCGACATTATGTTTTATCGCTTTTCCAACAACACAGGGGCGAAGAACTAATCAAATTAGATGTCGTAACGAATTTAACGTCCTAAATAATTAATGACTATTAGAAAAAGTTATTAGATGATAAATATTACCAACCCTAGATGAGCTCTTTTTCTTTATTGGATCATAGGATGTAATCTACACAGAAAAAACATTTCATTCCACTTGATCTATCTTTGTAATGAATTCAGAGTTATGAGACCTTACGTACGCACATAAATATCAGTACTTTTAT